TAAGCCTGGACTGTGTGCCAGACACAGTACTAGAATCTGGAAAGACCAAGACAAACAGTCCCTGCTCTCAAGGTGCTTACATTCTATGGGAGGAACAACATTTAGACATATTTATAAATGTACTTTGGACACCTACTGGCTGTGTGTCTATGGGCAAGTGACTTTACCTCTCTATGCTCTAGGCCAGAAGCGTCAGACATGACCCATGGACCCTGTGCAGCCCATAACACATCCGGGAACTACATTAAACTGTAATTGGAAGTATTTAACAAAAGAAATAAAAATACAATAGAACGTAGATAATGTTTACATGTGGTTTTCTAAGTCAACATGTGCCTGTTGGGATGCTTATGGCTTAGTGGCCCTCATTCTATTCAAGTTTGACTCCACTACTCTAGGCAACTCTCTAAAATGTAAAATATATAAAAAGTAAGTGCTAGGTCATTTCAGAGGCACTTGCAGCTGGAGAGAGTCATCAAATCAAGACAATGGGCATGTATGGAAGAAAGGTCCCATGTAGGAAGGAATCCTTGAGCTGAGCTTTGAAGGGAACCAGACATTAATATGGTTTCTCCAAGGTCTTAGTGACCATATATTTATTCATTCATTCAAGAAACATTGATTCTATGCCTACTACATGCAATCAGTCAATCAATAAGCATTTATTAAGTGCTTACTATGTGAAAGACACTGTGCCAAGCACTGGGGATGCAAAAAGAGGCAGAAGACAGTCCCTGCCTTCAAGGAGCTTATACTTTAATGGTGGGGACAACATTCAAATAACTATGTGCAAGCGATTTATAGAGCCCTGTTCTACCAAATTTAGATAAGGCATAGTCCCTGCTTTCATATTATTCCATGTCTAATGCTTTCATTAGACTTACAATCTAATAGGCAGATAAGACACAAATATAGATGACTGTAATGTGCAACATTGCAGACCAGATGCATTAACTTTGTAAAACAAGGTAGGAGGGGCAAGGTTGTTACCCCACCTGGGGAAACAGGGAAGGCTCCTTGGAGGAGGAAGAATTTGAAATGGTCTTTAGAGAAGAAGTAGGAAGGAAGAAAGGTCATTCCAAGCATGAGGAGCAGATTGAACAAAGGAATGGAGGTGGGAAAGCACAGGGGACATGAGGGCAGAGTAGTATAATTTGGTTGGGGTGTAAAGTGTATGTAGGGACTGCATCTCTGCTTTAATTGGTATTCAGAAGTCCCAGATGAGGAAACTCCTCCTACCAATCAGGTCAACACCTTCTCTACAATTTATGGTCTGTAAGAAAGTTGCCTGGGAGCACAGAAAGGTTAAACAATTTACCCAGGGTCACACAGCCAGGATGTACCAGATGTGGCGCTTGAACTCAGGTCAGCCTGCCTCTAAGACTAGCTCTCTATTCACTACACCACACTCACTAGGTAGAAGGGCGTGATATTAAATAAGACTGAGAAGGTTAGCTGGGGTCAGATTGTGGAGGACCCCAAATGCCAAGCAGGGAAGCTTGAGTTTTACTCCAGAGGCAATAATGAGCCACCTAAGATCTTTGAGCAGAGGAATGACATGGCCTTATCTGGCAGTAGAATGAAGGATGGGCTGAAGCAGACATAGGGCAGAGGCAGGTAGATCTGTTAGGAAGCTGTTGTAAGAGTCTGGGCAGATGATAACGATTACCTCTATTAGAATATTGGGAATAAGAATAGAGAGCAAGAGACAGGAGTGAGAGATGCTGTCGAGGGGGAAGCAAAAGGATGTGGTCATCGATTGGATATGAGAGGTGAGGGAGAGGGAAGAGTCCAAGAAAATCCCAAGGCTAGTAAGAAGGGTAGCAGCCTTCCCCTACCAGGCTTCTCCTGATATGTCTTTAGACTGGAATACACCCTACAAGGCTGTGGAGTGAATAGACAGAGAGTTAGCTATTGTCTGCCCAAAGCCAAACAACCAGAGAATGTCTAGAAGACCAGGTGCCAATTAGGGATGTTTGACCCTTTTCCACAACCATGGCAGACCTTCTCGGGAAGGTCTGGTGCATCTCTAGATCTGGCATTACTAGGCAGATGGAGATAAATGAGAGGAAGTGGAGAAGCAAGTAACGGGAGTGATTAGGGGGCTAGCAGGATTGATTTATGAGTAGAGGGAAGATTAAAAGAGTTAAATATGTAGAATGTGGATAAGCAACAGCTAAAGGGAGATATAACTGTCTGCAAGTATTTTTAAATCCTCCTATTGGAGAAAGAAGAATCAGTACAATGGAAAGGGTATCACTATGAAGAGAAGGATGAGCTTAAAGCAGATTAAGTGGGAAAAAATGTTGGTTAAATGTCAGGAGAAAATTTGAGTGATAGTAGACCCACAGGCATGCATAGAGTATGGACATATTCCTGCTCACGCAAGAGAAACTCAAGTGTACAGAGATCTTGAGACCTATACAATGGGATATGTTCAACCTATAACTTAATAATAGATAGCATTTATAGAGTGCTTTAAGATTTGTCGAGCATTTTACAAATATCTCATTGGCTCTTCAAAACAACCCTGGGAGATGGGTGCTATTATTATCCTTATTTTACAGAAGAGGCAACTGAGGCAAAAAGGTTAAATGACAAACCCTGAGTCACACAGTTAATAAGTTTCTGAAGATAGATTTCAACTAAGGTCTTCTTGACTCTTAAGTCCAACAGTCTATCTACTGCACCACCAAGCTATCTTAAAGATAGACTGGAATTTAAGAATGCCTCAAAGGACCTATCTGTACCAATTGACACAGTGCATTTTTTTTATCCATCAGGCAAAGAAAATAGAGGTGGACTAAAGTATTTTATTTCAATGTATTATTATAATAAATTTTTGTGTCACTTGATGCACCTAGCTTCTAGTGTTAATACAGTTTAGCCAAATTGCGCATCCCCGAGAGGGATGTTAGGGATGAGCTGGGTCTAGGTACACCTATGGGAAGATACTAAACTGATCAGGGGAAGTCCTGAAATTTCCAGACCACAAGATGCCCAAGAGTAATAAGGGTAAGACCCTAGGATTCATCATATATTCACAGTATTTAGAACTAGAAGAGACTTTAAAGATTATCCAGTCCAGTACTCTCATTTTACATATGAGAAAACTGATGTCCAGATGAGGCAATGACTTACCCAAGGTCGCACAGGGAGCATATAGTGGAGGCAAGATAGATAAAATTTTAGGGCTGGAAGAGACTTTGAGGGGTCATTTAGTCTATCATCTGCTTCCTGGCAGGAAGTCCCATAAACCAACCGGGACCCATAAGTTTTGTCTTTAAAGACCTCCAGTGTTTGAGAACCCTCATGAGCCCAACGTTCTTCCTCTTACTGAATATCAGTCATTCCAATTTTGTCCAAATGTCCCGGTTTCCTTGTTCTCCTTTGTTACTGTTTGATTAGGAGAGTGGAGGTATAGGTCACCATGCTAAGGAGAAGAGGGAGGATGATTGGGGGTGGTTAGGAGAAACAGACACAGACCTGGTCTTATGAACAACCAAAGTAGATAAACACTGTATCTGTCAATTAGGGAATGACTGAACAAGTTGTGGTGTATGATTGTGATGGAATACTATTGTGCTGTAAGAAATGATGAAAGGAATGGTTTCAGAAAAACCTGGGAAGACTTATATGAACTGATGCAAAGTGAAGTGAGTAGAACCAGGACAACAATTTATACAGTAACAGCAATATTGTAAAGACCTCTGGAAAACTTAATAATTTTGATCAACACGATGACCACAATTCTGAAGGACTCATGATGAAATATGTTGTCCTTCTCCAAATAGAGAATGGATGGATTCACAGTACAGATTGAAACATATTATCTTCTCTTTTTCTTTCTTTCTTTCTTTTTCTTTTGGACATGGCTAATGTGAGAATTTATTTCAGAAGACTCTACATATTCATAGTAGATTTTGTTTTTCTTGCCTTCTCAATGGGTAGGGGAGGTAGAGGTAGAGGTAGAGAATTCAGAACTGAAAACTAAATAAAGCTGAATTTTAAAAAAAACCTTAAAAGATTGAACCTAAGTAACAGTGGGGAAAGTAACACCACAGCAGTGCAGTGTTAAATGTTTAACAACTGGCTCTCTGAAATAAAAAAAATATACAAAGACACACTTTTTTAAAAAGTAAGTTTTTATTGGTGTCTTTTCTTTTTTATATCAACCCAGTTTTCCTTGGTTTCCCTCTCTCCCTCCTTCCCAGAGAGACATCTCATATAACAAATAGTATTTTTAAAGACAAAAAAAATAGAAAGAAAAAGAAAAGGAAAAAACCAGCATAACCAATTAATATATTGAAAAAGTCAGAAAACCTGTGGAACTCCCACCTCCCCCAAAGAAGAATTGGGAGTGTCTTCTCATACCTCTTCATAAATAATACTTGAAAATTGGTATGAGCTGGCTCCAACATACCCCTGTGTTGTTAAAGGGGCAATTCAGAGCACCAAAGAAAATCAGCCCACTTCATTACTACTGTCTAGAATTGACCACACTCTGCCTCATGTTGGAGAGCAGCAATGAAAAGTGTTACAAGTTAAGGAACTAGGCCATACTAGTTAATTAAATATTCTGTTTAACAGAGGTTAGATAGTACTGAATCTATCATATGGCTAAATAATGGATTTGAGGGTAGCAGGATGGGTGAGGAGATGGATGGAGAAGGTTAGAGGTTCTTTTCTCTTCTGAATAAACCAGAAAATTCCCACATCTAGCACAAACTGGAAAAAAAAATGTTGGAAAGCCCTTGTCTCTGGAGAGTGAAATCTGGTAGAGAAGTGCTTAGAAACAGATAGACAACGCTCAACTCTTGTTGGGCCTCTCTCATCCAAGACCTTCTAAATGCTTCATGAACCTTTCCTTCTACTCCTCTCAGCTGAGGTTGCATCCGTAACCTTGAGGTGTCCCTGGGGAATTCTGGCGAAATTCTGTCCTGTTAGCTCCAGGAGTCCCTGATGACTCACATGATGTCTCCTGTCTTGTGTCCTTTCAGGTGTAAATGCAACCTCCATGCCAACCTGTGTTCCTACAAAGAAGGAGGCCTTCAGTGTGAGTGTGAACACAATACCACCGGCCAGGACTGTGGCAAATGCAAGAAGAACTTTCGAACCCGCTCATGGAGAGCAGGGTCCTACCTGCCCCTCCCTAATGGCTCCCCTAATGCATGTATGTATAACAAGGAGCTAACTCTGAGGCTGGGGATGGCAGAGGTCTTTGTGTTCACCCCCCTGCCTCTGGGCAAAACCACATCCTTAATCATCTCAAATAATAATAATAATAATAACATTCCAATAGAATTTTAAGGTTTTCAAAACACTATTTATGTTATCTTATTTATGATTTAGGTAGGTATTTTTATTATGCCTCTTTTGAAGATGAGGAAACAGGCTAAGAGGTTTAAAAAACTTGCTCAGAGTTATATAGCTAGTAAATAAGTAGGACTGAGGTAGGATTCAAACTCATGACTTCCTGACTCTAAGTCCAGTGTTGTATCCACTATGATACCAAGATTCCCCAATGTTTCATCAATTTACAATCCAGGATCTCCTGAATATAAGGTGCCTCTAACCCAAGAGGCAAGTTGGTACAGTCAAAGGAGAATGGCTTTGGAGTCAGAAGACCTCAGTTCAAATCTTTGGTCACATTGATCAAGTTATTCAAAGTCCCTGAGCCTCAGTTGCCTCATCTGTAAAATGAGAGGGTTAGACTAGACGCCCTCTGGGTTTTCTTCTGGCTCTAGAACTATGTTCGTGTGATCCGCCTCACCCTCAGTGGGTTCAGACCATCACTCAGAAAGCATTTCTTGTTCTAAAGACTACAACGACGTCACTCTTCAATCTTCCTCTTTTCTAAGGGAGGGCATCTTTGATGGGATGAGCAGTCCTGCAGGGAAGCTGCATGTGTGGTGGAAAGGGAGCAGGATTTGTAGTCAAAGGATTCACAGCTTTCTCATTTACCTGTGTGACCTCTGTCTTTAACCTCTCCAGACCTCAGTTTCCTCATCTGCAAAATGAAAACCTCTAATGTCCCTTCCAGCTCAAAATCTTATGATCTTGTAAGAATCCCCAACAAGCAGCAGGGCCAGCCAGTTGAGAGGGTCTGCAAGTCTCTCTGTAGGTGATCTCAGAAATCTCCACAAAGCAGTGATAAGGGGGAGGGGAAGGGGGAGGCCAAAGTTGGTGAGATCATCTGTGGAGGCAGAATGATCTTTGGTCTCTGGATGTCCCACCCCTGGGACCCCAGCCCACTTGGAGGCCTTAAACACAGCTCAGACTTGCAAATGTCACTGCTTGGGTTTCTAATGGTCTTGCCTGGGAATGGAGGCTTAGCCTTGCTCTTTTGCTTCTCCTCTCAGTGGGTGAAAGATTTATGTGGCTTTAAGATGATCAAAGCTAAAATACAGGCTGCGAGGGCCGTGACAGGAATGTTGTGTGTGTGCCAGGGATGGGAGACGACAGAGCCTTTGAAAGAGAATGAGCTTGTCAGCTGCTGGATAGCGCTTGTGGGTCTTCAGAGAGCAAGGAGAGCATTCTGGGGCTGTGATGAGAGCTCCGTGACTGCTGCCTCCTCTCCTGTCTCCCTTTGTCTCTGTTTGTCTCCCTTTGTCTCTGTTTGTCTCCAGGTTTTATTCTCATTTAACTATCTCTGTTTCTCTCTCTCTCTCTCTGTCTCTCTGTCTCTCTGTCTCTCTGTCTCTCTGTCTCTGTCTCTTTCTCTCTTTCTCCCTCCCTCCCTCTCTCACATCAGCCTCAATCTGTTGAAATCATCTTTCTCTCCTTTCCTTTCCTTCTTCCTCTCTTCTTCCCTTTATGTTCCACTCACTCTTTTTCTTCCCTTTTGTTCCTCTTCTTTTCCTTCCCATTTCTTTTTCTCTCCCTCTGTACCTCTCTCTTCTTCTTTCCTTTGTGTTCCACTCACTTTTTTCCTCCCCCTTTGTTCCTCTCCTCCTTTTCCTTTCTATTTCCTTCTCTCTCCCTTTGTGCCTACGTCTTCTAGAACTATTTCTTCCTCTTCTTCCCTCTTCCTCTCCCTCCTTCCTTTTCTCTCCCTCCTCCTTCCTCCTTCCTTCTCTCTGTGTGCTCTATCTCACCCTCTTTGTGTAGAGTATTCTTCCAGGCCATTTGTCATCCCCATCCCAAGATGCCCTCCCTTCTCTTGTCTGACCTTTGGTCCTCACTCGGTGCCTGAAAAGCCAGCCTTATTTCTTAAATGAGGTCTTCTTTTCGTTCCAACCCATGACCTATTTCATATCCCTAATAAACTTTGAATGATTAAGGAAAACCTTCTGCCTCTTGCAGTTTCCTATGCAGCCTGGTGATTTCCCATCTAACCAATGGCTTGGCTTCCTGTATCATTTCGTACACTCAGAAAATTTTGGAATATCAGAGTTGAAAAGGACCTTAGAGATCACTCTAGTCCAACCCTCTAATTTTTTTAGTTGAAGAAAATGAGAACCTGAGAAAATGAGTGAATTGCTCAAGATCAGATATTTAATAAGTGTCAGAGCTGGGACTCAAATTCAGGTCATAGGATCATAAATACGGAAGTGGAAGGAACCTTGGAGGTCATGGAATCTGACTCCTCCCCTCCCCCCACCCCATCTCATTTTACAGATAAAGTAACTGAGGCCTAGAGAGGTTGAGTGACTGACCCAGGGTCACTCGACTAGTAAGTATCTGAGATGGGATTTAAACCAGCTCTCTGGCCGCAAGTCCATTGTTCTTTCCATTATACCACACCTCTCTTCATATCAATTTGACAAATATTTAAGTGTATCTGCAAAGCACTGCATCACATACTGAGGACACAAGGTTAGGTATGACACACAGGTCCTGCTCTCAAGAGACTTTCTAAAGTGTGGGAAGGACAAGTACACAAGTAACTATGATACAAGATTGAGTAAGAAGTGCGAAAGAGAGATCCATGTAACTACTTTGATCCTCTTCTCTCTTCCTGCCTTCCACTATAGGAAGAGAAACACCTCTGCACAGGGGAAAGCTCTTTGTAGGGGAAGTTCCTTCATTGGACTTGGGAGGAAAAGTGTGGCAGGGAAAGCCGTGGCAGCTACATAGCAGGTAGCTACAGTATATTTGCAGAAGCTCCCAGATTCCCAGGAGTCTTCTAGAGTTGTCTAAGATATTGCTGAGGCTTAGAAAGAGATGCTTTTGTTTTTTCTTCTAGTGTGGTGGAGAGTAATAGAGCTTAGGGGCAGGGGTGGGGAGGATGATGTACGAGGGGGATCTGGAGTGAATTATTTCTGGATTCCTCCAGCACCTTGGAAAAAAAATGCAACCCCCCTCCTAATCCACATTGCAACCAGTGAAGGATGCCACCTCCCCTTTGTGTCCTCAGAAATGCCCCCAAACCTAATTGGCAACCTTTTCTTTTGGGACCAGGGTATCTTCGAGCTGGAGATGGATGCTTCATCACCATCTCCCTTCCTTCCTCAGGAGACATGAACCCTCTGCAGAGAAGAAGCTCCATTCCTTAGGCTCCATAATGTGACCTTGTCTTTTCTCTCTTCTAGGTGCGGCTGCAGGCTCCGCCTTTGGCAGTAAGTAAAGACCTAGAGAACGGAAAGAAGGTTGACATCCTTATTGCATGAGCCTGTTTGCACGGGGAAAAAAACAAAGGGACTTTAATGTTCTTTCTGTGCCTGCCAGCCATCCATCTCGTTCCTCTAATTGTGTCTCATTTGCTGTCCCCCTCCTCCCTCCCCTAGTCTCTTCTGATTTCTTTTTTGTTGTTTTGCTGCACCCGGCAGCTTACTGCCTCTTCAGTTTCTCCCCTAGAGCTTCATTAGCACTGCCTTGGAAAAAAGGAACAAACTGGACTTTTTGCAAGTCCCCTTGACCCCCCAGTGAACTCCTCCTTCTTCCCACTGACCAGCCTCTCCTCTCACCTGGACTGGTGAAAGTGCCCCTCCTGGATGGTGGGCAGTGGCACTCACAGGGAATTCCATTGCTGGTGGTTTTCCTTATAACCAGTGACAGATTTAAGTCCTAAGCTCTTAATCCAAATTGGGTAAAGGGTCTTTTTTTTTTTAGCCTTCCACTTAGGGAAACCTGTCTGATATCCAGACACCACGTAGTCAAGTGTCAGAGCTGGGGGAAGACATTTAGGACCAGAGGGTGGGGGAACTGAGGGAGTATCAGGGAGGCCTTCTGAGGAAATGATGTGGAATTTGATGTATGTTAACTTTCATCATTTCCTATTTTTCTCCATGGGCTGGGAAGGCCATACCATGGCCCCAACCTTTATTCTTCAGGGCTGAGTCCTAAGCAACTACCTATCTTGCTTCCCTCTTGCTCGGGATGCTGGTGGGGGTGGAAAATGTCATGAGAATGGTCCTGGATCCAACAGGAGACATGTATCCATTTGATTTTTCCTGATGTATTGCAAGAAATAGATGGTGTTTCTGAAATGGTCATTCCCTTTCCCTCCTCCAATTCCCTTTCTCCATCTGCCCCACTCTTGTTTTCCTCATGTCTTGCCAGGAATCAGTCGGCCACAGAAAGTCACTGTCCCCAAGGCCACTGCCACCTCAATGGCCCCTGAGGTGGCCATCACCACTTCTACTCCCACAACCCCCACCACACAAGCCCTCACCCTTCCCAGCACCCAACAATCCACAGGTGGGTACCAGAAGTTAGACCCCATTTCCCAATAGTGCACAGCAAATAATCCTGGCTGCCTTATCTCATTCTTAGATAGTTGTCCTTCCTTTCTCCATAATATCCCTTATGATAGCAGAGAAGAAATTAGTCTGATCATTGATTCATAGACCCTTAGAGTCATTGACTTTTGGAGTTGGATAAGACCTTACAGGTCATCTACTCCAAGTTCCCACCCAGTAGAGGAAGCCCTTCTACAGCAGATCCCTGTTGTGGGGATTAAATGTCAGCTTGGACAGAAATTTAGATCCTCATCTTCTTGATTGCTTGCCATATTTCCAGGGCGGGGTGCAAGAGAGAGGGAAAAGAACCACTAAATGATGTCCTCTCAAACCTGGCAAACATCATTGTCTGGACACCTTATTGGTTAAGTTGACTTGAGCTGGGTCCCCAGAAGCCTAGCACATGGTTTCCCCAAGTCATGTCAATGGAACCAAATGAATGAAGGTGACTTGATGGGGAAAGGGAGGATCTCTATAGTTTTCCTTGTCCTTTTAGACTGACTGGGTGGGAGCTGGGTTGCTACTTGACTAGCCTAGCTTGCTTTCTCCCCTTCCAATTCCAGCCCAGCAATATCTCCAGCACCCTCAGACCCATAGCCGTCTTAAAACACAAGATTAGATGGAGAACTAGTTTACTATGATCTCATGGCTCCCAAGCATGGGAATTGGATATAACTAAAGTATTGCTGTTGTTGTTGTTGTTATTTTTCCTAGGAGGTGAATTTTCCGGCTATTAATACTCAAGGTAGATGAGGAGCAAGAGGCATGCAGAATATGTTTAAGGGGAAAGCCCACTGTTTGTTTCTAAATTTTCTGGGGGAAACAGGTTAAGTGCATCCTCATGAAAAGGAAAATAGAACTGGGGTGAGGGGGAAGTAGGACAAGAGTGGCCCCTAGGACAGGAAGATCCTCTGGAGCTTTATCAGGGTTGCCCCCAGTTCTCAGCCCACTGGGCAGAGCCCAATACTGAAGGAGATCATAGCAGTCCTGGGTGGATGGGAGAAACAAGGACCAAGAAACCTTCCTGCAAGACACATAAGCAGATTTCTACTCATTATCCCAATTAATCCTCGAGTCTTAGCAGGCAAACCCTCCTCAATTTCTTGGGTTGAATACATCCATCTCTGGGGGTTGGAAATAAGAGTTAGAGCTAGAGCAATCACTCCAAGTTGGGTTTCCCTATTGCTTTTAGTTGAACTATTCTGTGAGCCTTGGGAGGCAGAAGTAGGGGAGGGGATGGGGTGGTAAGACCATAGGAGAGTTCTCCTCATCCCTAAGAGGTGATGTCCTTTGCTTAATATGATTGATGGGTTTTTGTTCTTTTGCCGCCTCTGTACTCAGAGGTCACTCCCAGTGGGCAGCCTGTTACCAGGGCAAATGGAAGAACTCAGGGAAGTCCAGGTATGTCAAGGGAGCCTCTTGGCCTTGGGGACCTCACTGATTGCGATGAGTGGGGTTTTCTAGAGGGTCTGAGAGCCCAAGAGATTGTGTATGGTCTTAGACTAAGTTTCGAGTTGCTAGTTTCTGCTACATCTTGCAGAAGGATTCTTTGATTTGGAAAGAAGAGAGAAAGAAAAAAAAATCAGAGACACATTTTCTATCTTCAGGGAATTTACAATTAAGTTGGGAAGATGAGATATATGCGTGTGTATGTATGTATATATGTATGTGTGTATGTATGTGTGTATGTGTGTATACACATACATACACACACACACACACACACACATATATGTGAGCTGAGAGAGCATATAGGAAGGGCCAAACAACTACCAACAGGTGTACTGGGAACTCTCTCCATAAAAAAGTGCTGAGAGCATGGGTTCTTAACCTGAGGTCCATGGAGAGATTTCTGGAGGTCTGGGAATTTGGATAGGAAAAATTACATCTGTATTTCAATATGATTGGTTTCTTTCGTAATCCTATGTACTTTATTTTATGAATTTAAAAACATTATTTTGAGAAGGGTCCATAGGCTTCACCAGACTGCGTAAGGGGTCCATGACCACCCCCTAAAGGTTAAGAACCTTTTCCTGGGAGAAAGCAAAGGCAAGGATTGACTAAGGGGTTTGGGGGGGTTGATCAGGGAGCTTCAATAAAAAGGGGCATTTTGAAAAACCTAGTACATCCAGCTAATGGAAGCCCTCCATATGGTGGGGCTAACAGTTAGACAGTGTGGAGAACATTGTAAAATTTTCAGCCCAGAGCAGGAGAATCAAATTATCCTTCTGAAGGAGACAATAATAGACAGGATCATAAATTTAGACCTGGAAGAGAAGCCTTAGAGCACATCTAGTCCGACTTCCTCATTTTAAAAATGAAGAAACTGAGTCTAAGAGAAATAAAGTGATTCGCCTCAGGTCAAAAAGAAGGACAAAACTCCAATCTTGAAGCTAGAATTCAGGTGACCCAAGTACAGAAGGATGAAGTGGCTGGGCCCACACAAAATCATCTTCCTCTTCAGTGTTTTTATTATCACCGTCCTCATCACTGTTCATATTATCCACAAACAATCCTAGAGTACCAGCTGTGTGAGCTCTATTGTTCCTGCCAATACCTGGGCTCTTGGCCTTGTCTGCTCCTGGCACCCCTCCCTGAGAGAGCCCCCAGCACCCCAGTGCCTTGAGAAGTAGTAAGGGAGACGCAATCACATCCTCCATGTGGCCCTGGCATTTACCTCAGGCTTCCTAAGTGAACACTTTTCAGAGGCACCTGAGAACATTCCCAGAACAACCTGGAAGCCTGGACATCATTTTCTGTGTGCACTCTTTCCTCCCTCCGGATACCAAGCCAGAAAATTCCTAGGGCCATCTCAGTACCTCTACACACATGATTCCAGCCCTTTGGCCGAAGTCCAGCTGAGGCTCCCAAAATGAACAAAAGATAAAGTATTTGTTAAGTGCGTATTATGTGCAAAAAACAAAAGAACAAAACTGTGCTAAGTGCTATGGACACAAATAGGAAAACTCAGAACATCTGGAACATCTGCTTTTCCCTCCTGCCAGTCAGGATGTCCACAGGTGGGGACTCAGAGAAAGCAGAGACCGGCCTGCTGGTCAGGATGAAATCTGAAAAACCACTCTTCGTTTTTCCTGCTCAGCAGGAGGAGGAAGAGGGGTGATGTATGTGCATGACTAAAAAGCAAAATGCCTTCAGGGCTGGATTTTATTATGACTCTAATTAAGCCCTTGCCAATTTGAGGAGGGCAGTCTCCTCTCCTCATTGAGCACCATATTAATATCAATTTTATATCCAAAGGCTCCCAGCTCACAGTTTAAAAGTATCCTGTACTTTTTAGACATTCGATTTTTTTTTCATACTCCACCAGCCGCTGTTGTTTATAAATCCCTCGAAGGAACTGAAAAATCAAATTTTGTCCCCATGGGTTTATCCTTTGAAATTGAGCAAAGGAGAGATTTCGTTCACCCTCATTCTCTCTTTCATTCCATCTTCCCATCATTGAGTTCTTTTTTAGATCCTAAAATGAACAGTGGTATTTTGGGGTTTGACTGGAGGACATCCAGGATGATGAAGAGCCTTGAGATTATGTTTTTTGAGGATTGGGTGGAGGAAGTGGAGATGTGTATCCTAGAGAAGGGAAGACTGAGAGGAGGCATGATAGCCATGTTCAAGCAGTTGAAAGGCTGTCATGTGGAAAAGGAAGATTTTCCTTCCTTAGCCTCAGAAGGCTGAGCTAGAAGCAATGATCAGACTCTGTAGAGAAGTGAGTTTTGGCTACATGTGATGAAACACTTCCTAATGAGTGAATGAATAATGATTTGGTAAGTGCTTACTATGGGCAGCTAGGTGGCTCAGTGAATAGAGTGCCAGGCCTGGAGTCAGGAAGACCTGAGTTCAAATCCAGCCTCAGACCCTCTCTGTGTGACCCTGGGCAAGTCACTTAACCTTATTTGCCTCAGTTTCCTCATATGTAAAATAAGCCGGAGAAGGAAATGGCAAACCACTACATTATCTTTGCAAAAAAATTTTAAAAACCCAAATGGGATCAAGAAGAATTAGACACGACTAAACAACAACAACATTCTTCTGAGAAAACTCAAGAATGAGACAAAGGGATGGAGATCCATCCATAGTGACTTAGGAGTCAGGTCTAATGTAGGAACAGACATATGTATGGCAATAATTTTGCTCTTTAGCAAATGTTTGCCAGAGATACTGCTTCTAGTGCTATGTTTCCCCATGAGCGGCTGGGTCTACATTTGGCAGTGTAGATAGACTGTGTTGTATATTGATTAGATGATTTGAAAGTTGAACTGCACATTCCAAGTGTTTTGTATATCTGGACTTCAAAGTGAGCAAAAGGCCCATACAGGAGAGTGAAGATAACATGTACCTATCACATTTGGCATCAAATTCACATATGTGGCCAAAGGTTATATTAGTATAGGTGCTGCTATTCATGTTGATTTGGATCCAGTCTACTCAACCAGTGTAGACATAGCCACTCTTGATACATCATGATTTTTTATATCCTCCTCAGGGTATTCCTGTGTCTGGGAGGTAGGATAAAAGTGGGCAACCTAGCTTTCCCAGCTAGGGAGGTGGCAACTAAAAGAGGTTTCTGGGAAAGGACCCTGAGAGATATAACACCCAAGGTTATATCCATATCATCAGAATGGAACAATTGAATATGAAACTGGGACCCTCTAGTGCGTATTTCACCTTGTAACTGGACTTTCCTCTTATTTCTACATGAGAGTGGACCAGGTCATCAACAGCTGCCCCTCTGCAGATGGGCACCCCTATGCCCAAGGTTAACACCAAAACAGAAGGTAGGGATGTATTTATTGCTGATTACAGCATCCCCCTGGGTACTATTTCTGGGCCTTGCAGGAATAAGAAATTGTTGGGGAAAGCACCTGGAGGAGAGTCTCCTAGGTCACTGCTGCTCTCTCTTGCTTTTCTGTCTCTGTCTGTCTCTCTCTCTCTGCCTCTCTGTCTCCATCTCTCCGTCTTTTCCTGCCTCTGTCTGTCTCTTCTCCTTCTCTGTCTCTAGTTTTCTGTCTTTCTGTTCTCTCTCTCTTCTTTCTCTCTCTGTCTCTCCTTCTCATTCCTTCCCCCTCCTCTCTCTATCTCTCTCTGTCCTTGTCACTATCTCTCTCTGTCTCTGTGTCTCTGTCTCTGTCTCTCTTGCCCTCCCTCCCTCCATCTCTCTCTCTCTCTCCCCCTCTTTTTTCCTTCTTCTCTCTTCCCTACCTCAGGTTCCTAATAGCCTCTAAAGCCCCTTTCAGCTCTGAGTCTATGATCCTTAAAAATTCTTCCCCCACCAGATGACCTAATGCATATGAAGCACTTTGCAAAGCTTTACATGCTACATGTCAACTATTATTGTTATTACTTTCCTAAGGGATATCCCTGAAACATCACAGATCACCAGGTGGGAGTTCCAGCCAAGGTACCACAAGAACTTGTTCAGCCTCCTATTGGAGCTAGCCTACTTGGGCTCTCTTCCTAGTGATCAGAGAAGGGAGAGCATTTCCTCCGGCCTTAGGTCTTTCTTTGTAACTAGAGCAGTAGCATGGTGAAGTGGATAGAGCATTGGACTTGGAGTCAGGAAGAGCTGGGTTTAAATCCTGCTCCCAAGGGCAGCTAGGTGGCGCAGTGGATAGAGCACCAGCCCTGGATGCAGGAGGACCTGAGTTCAAATCTGGCCTCAGACCAAACACTTGACACTTACTAGCTGTGTGACCCTGGGCAAGTCACTTAACCCCAATTGCCTAAATAATAATAATAATAATAATAATAATAAATCCTGCTCACACACACACACAGACACTTACCAGCTGTTTGACTTCTCTCTGCCTCAGTTTCCAAATCTATATGATGCAGATATTACTATCAGTAGCCCCCTTACTTCATAGGATGGTTGTGAGGACCAAATGATAGCATGCATGTAAAGTGCTTTATAAAACTTAAAGTGCTACAGAAATGTCAGTTGTTAGTGCTGTTAGGAATGGAGTTTAAAATGAGAAGTTGTAGAAGGAGATCTAGTCTTTCCAGCTGGGGAGAACATTGAAGATTATTAATGAACATTGAGTAGAAATTGAATAGAACCACCCAGGGAGCGGGGGAAAGGAGAAGGCATTATGTATGATATTATGTCACTGAGGGTAGAGTAAGCTGCTCTGGATCATTCATTCATTCAGTGAGCTCTAATGAGTACTTATCTCTTTCAGAGTACTACACATGATGTGTCTCACTTTTCCCCTAAGAAAAAATGCAGGGAATTATAAGAGTAACTCAGAAAATCTAGGGTAGGAGTTACTCCTACAGGGATGTAATCCCATGTGCTCTGAGACATGAAGGACCATGGATCTGGAGGGGACCTCCAAGGCCATCTAGTGCAAGCCCCTGACTTTAGAGATGAGGATCCTGAAGCCTGTGGAGGTCAAATGAGTTATTTGAGGTCAGACATGTAGTGTCAAAGTAACATTTGAATCCAGGTCCTCTGATTCCAGAGCCAAAGAGGGCTCTTTCCATTATCAAATTGCCCTTTAGAAAAATCTGCATTTTTCCGGGGAAAGACAGGGAAGAGCATGCTACTGACCCCATCCACCCAAACTGTGTGAATTCTGCCTGGCATCTGAGGGATTTACCCAGTCTGCTTTGGAAAGGAAATTTGTCTGGCTGAACGCTCACTGGAATAGTCTGATTCAAATCCCGTGACCCTAGGCAGTACCTCTATCCTGCTCTGGGGATGAGGCCACTCAGCAGGTCAATAGGCTTGCTCTGAGAATCTATGGCATCTGGCTTCCTTTACCCAGGAGACACCTGAAGTCACGTAGGGATCCTCCCAGTGCCTCCCAGCCTATTCCCCTTACCTGCTCTGGCCATGATGTTCATCTGGTTACAGAGAAGTGAATACTTGCTGATAGAGATCACTGGGGAGAAACCAGCAGCTGTCCTGACCTCAGCCTTGATGCTTAGCTAGCCCTAGCTTTCACCTGGCGGGCGATGTGGCTGCCTTTCTGTATATACGTATGGACAGAGTTGTGGCCAATGTATGCTTTTCCATTGTGCCCTTTAAATAAAGCACACAATTTTATTGGGGGAAAGTAGCCCTTACACATGTGCATATGTGTATATGTTTGCATATATGTGTACAAGCCAGTTAATAAGTATGTGTCACCTGCTACGTGCCCTCTCTGTGTCAGGCACATAGTAGGTGACACATACAAAGTGAAAGATACAAAAATACATAAGAGCAAATCTTTAACCCTGGATTTTATGGTTCTGGTTAAGAAAAGATGGGGTTGGGGGAGGGCCACGGAAAGCTTTGGAGTAGAGGAGTGACATGTTCAAAGAGTCAGTGCTAGACCATGGCATCAACACCAAGTGCTCTAGGGCTTCAGAGGAGGAAGCTCAATAAGACAAGCTGGGCCTTGAAGGATGGGGAGGGTTTAGATAAGGAATAGGGAAAGCAACTCATTCAGAGGAAGTAGCAAGGTCAAGAATGAGCTGCTGCTAGGGGGAGAAAACAACGAAGAAACCAACCAAGGGGCAACAGACAGGTTAGTATTCTGGGAAGAAGGGACAGGGACAGAAAAGGATAAGTAAGCTTTCATGCTGCCTACCTTATACACTTACTATGAAGGGAGCTCTTTGTAGACTGGAAAGCCCTGGAGAAACATGGATTATTATTATTGTTGTTGTTGTTGTTGTTGTTGTAGTTATGATGATGCCAAATAATGCCAGGGCTTAGAATGCCAAGCCAAGGAGTTTAGAATTTAGAGTGAAGGATGCCTAGATTTGGAGTCAGAAGATTTGGGATGGAATTCTGGCACTGTTACCCACTTCTTGTGTGACATTGGGCAAGGTATGTCACGTGAAGTCTCTTCCAGACCCTCCCAATATGGCACCTTCTGGCTCTACATCTATGATCCTATTTCCTGAAGCAATAGGGAATATGCAGAGAGAAGTGGGAAGGAGGCAGATAGAGAGACTGAGTCATGAAGACAGGTGGAAAAATGTATTCTTCTGACTTTCTCATGGGGAAAGATCAGGTAAACTGAGCATATCTCTGGTCTTTTTGTGCCAAGTAATAATGGGAGATTCTAGAATCAGAGCTAAAAGGCACAGAGGTCATCTAGTCCAAACCCTGTCATTTTATAGATGAGGAGACAAAGGCCCAAGGAGATTAAGTCACTTGCCCAGGGTCACATAGAGAGTGACAGAGGCAGAATTTGAACCTAGGTCCTCTGACTTCAAAGCCAATGCTCTTTCTACTATATACCACCACTGCTACTCTCCCTTCTTCCTGGCCTTAAAGGCAGCTGGGAGTCACCATGGAGAAAGCATTGGGCCTGGAGTCAGGAAGACCTGAGTTCATATTTGGCCTCCGACACCAGCTGTATGACCCTAAGCAAGTCACTCAACTTCTGTTTGCCTCAGTTTCCTCAACTGTAAAATGGAGGTCATAATAGCAGCTACCTTACAGGATTGTTGTGAAGATCAAATGAGTTATTTGTAAAGCACGCAGTGCCTGGCACATAGTAGATGCGATGTAAATTCTTATTCCCTTCCTTCACATTTTGAATCATACTTGACAGCTTTGAAAGCACTTTCACATCCATTATCTCATTTTGTCCTCACCGTACTGCCCTGTGAGATGGGGAAAATCAGGGCTTATCAGCCCCCATTCTACAGATGAGGACACTAAGGCCCAAAGAAGGGAAATGATTTTCCTGCAAGGAGTCAGAGCAGTGCTAGAATCAGAGACTAACTTTCTCATCTCTTGGTTCCCTGCTTCCTCCCTGCCATTCCCACTACTGCCTACGAGCATCCTTAGCCCTAAGAAAGGAGCCGTTTCCAAACTGGAAAGTGATGGTGGGCTTGGATCTCAACAGTCTCGCCAGACCCACCCTCTCTGCCCTGAGTCCCTGCTCTGCCAGAGAATGATGTCTCTTTGTGTTTATAAGGGGCTGCAGCGAATAAATCAAGGCTTTCAGCACCCTCTGCTGGTCAACAGCTCCCAGAGCTGGCTGCCAACATGAACGACATCCTTGTGATGGGGAATGATAGGTGAATACTGGCTCTGCCTTGGAGAGCATTGGGGGTCAAAGTACAATTTTTTTATGGGAACCAATAGTCTAACCTGGAACTTTACTCCAATTCTAAAGAGGTGGGATATCTGGGACCTGAAAGGGAAACAGAAGCTGATGTTCTAGAGCCCCTTTCATCATCCTTATAAATAATTTTGGAGTCAGAGTACCTGATTTGGAATCTCAGTTGTATAATTTTGAACAGGTCACATTCCTTCTCTGGGCCTCAATATTTTCATTGTAAAAAAAAAGGAATAAGACCAAATGACCAACAAGGTCCCTTTTAGTTCTATGCTTTATCAAATGTGGACTGTATGTTAGGCACTGTGGAGACTATATAGATAAATAGTACCTGGTCCCTGTCCTCCAAGAACTGACAGTCTAGCTGGGGATATGTGTAGAATGCATGGGATAGTATAAAAATCACTGGATTGTGATTTGAAAGACCAGTGTTCTAGAAATCCTGGTCCAGCCACTGCCTTGTTGTGGGTCCTTGGGCAAGTCTCTCCCTCTCAAAGGACCTCAGTTTTCTGCTCTGTAAAATGAAAAGATTGGACTAGATTATCACTAATTCCTCCCAACTGTAAGATTCCATGATTCTGCATTTTTCAATGGTGTCCATTGAGTGTCCTAGAAGTGCAGAGAAGGGAAGATTCACCTTAAGTGGGAGAGAAAGTGTGCCTTGAACTGAACCTTAAATGCTTGAAGATAGAACATATAGTTGGAGAAGGTATTCCAGTCCTGGGTCTTGGGTAAGTGTGAGAGAAGGTCCAAGGTAGGAAAGAATCTAGTTTGTTCAGAAGAGAATAAATAAACCAGAAGGATTAGAGCCTAGTAGCAGATAAGAATAAGCGGCTTGACTACCTTGAATAGAAGCATTGAATTGCAAAGTTAGGAGTTTGAAATTTATACTGTTGGAAATAGGGGGCCACTGAAAAGTTTTTGGGGGTAATGGCATGCATAAAATCAGTGTTTTAGGAAGATTAATCTGGTAGGTCTATGTAGGATGGATTGGAAGGGAGATCAGGCAGGGCTAGGGTTCTCTTTGGCTTTGTTGTGTGATCTACAGTCAATTATTTAACCTCTCTCTGCCTGGATGGGACTTTTCCAGGCCTTTGATAAGGCCAACAGTGGCCTTTTCATGGCCTCCTGTCCTGTATATCCAGAGAACTTAGGGAAAGTGATAAAAGAGTTTGTCTCTTGTTTCTCCAAGCCACCACCACTGTTGCTGCCCCCATTGTTGCTGCCCCTGCCAAGATCTCCAAACTTTTCCAGCTCAAGCCTAAGTCTCCTCAAGTGGTGCCCATTGAAGTATTCAAAGGTAAGAGAGACAAGAGTCTCAGAGGAGAGCATCAAGGCAAGGCTAGGAAGCCAAAGCTAACAGGCCACCAGGAGGAAAAGAAGGGAGTTCCAAAAGGCCATTCCTAGCTCCTGACTGGGAACATCCACTTGAATGGTTGAGCCAAAGTCAAACTCCTTTTTTCTTTATGATCCTCCCAACTCTAGAGAGCCAGCCTGAGGTTGACCAGGCTTGGGGCTGCTGTGCTTGAAGCAGAAAAAGGTTTCCTTCCAGAAACCTAATTTTTTCTTAGGCTTCTTTGGAAAGTAGGAGCTTGAGGACCCCTGGGATTGGTGGCAGGAAGGAGGCTGGGTCTGCCTGCTACCATCTTGGGCACACTGTGGTGACTGGGGGGCTCTTAGCATGGACTGTGTCTAAAGAATCAGCCTGAAGGAATGAGCTGAGATCAAGGTTACGTCTTTTTGGTCTCTCTTGGAGGTAAAGAGCATTGCCAAGCAGCCCTCTGGTAATGAAGAGGATAGAGCCCTTTGCCTCTCCTTGAGTAGAACTCAGGGACTATTCCCTCAGAGACCCCATACTCTCCAAGACACTAAGAATGAATCTTCTCTTCCTTCAGATGGAAGAGGCTTTTTCAAAGACATCTGTGTTTTTGAGATAGTAGGTCTTTCCTTGCCATGAAACAGAGCATGATGTAGTAGAAAGAACACTGGATATGGCATCAGGAGACCTGGGGTTGAGTCCCAGCTCTGACAAATGGTGTTCCTGTGGACAAGTTTCTTTGAAGCTCAGTTTCCTCATCCTTAAAATGGGTACAATAGTATATATATTTTGGGGGTTTTTAAATATAATTATATTTTATTTTAACATTCATTTTTTTTAAATTTTGAGTTCCAAATTTTCTCCCTCCCTTGAGCCCCTCCCCAACCATTGAGAAGGCAAACAATATGATATCAATTATACATGTGAAGGGGACAGTAATACTTAATACTAAACACCTCATACAACTGTTTAGGGGAGAGTACCTTGTAAACCTTTTTCATTTTAATTATGTAATATAAACATTGTAATTCGTGTTCAATGGAGAGTAAGACTCCCTTGGGATGGGTCAACCCCAAAAGACATTTGGGCATTTTGCCCAGTGTTTCTAAAGGCAGACTCTGCCTTCCTGAGATAGGGGAAGGGACGCTGGGCTCTAACCTCTTCCTCCTCACCTCCCTGCCCTCTCCACCCCAAATCTCTGACCTTAATGATGTCATCAGGAGAGAAACATGACCAAAATCTTGCAGTCCCTGGACACTCCACTTAGGACATCATGGAATTTGCCTCCTTCTTTTAGCATATCTAGTCTAATCTTAGAATGTCTTTTAATTCCCCAGAACCCCAAGGGAAAGGATCTAGGAGTAGGAAAGGGGAGGGAATGGGCCACTCTACCTCAAGCAGTAGGCAGACAACAAGAATAATTTATTAAGTGCTTACTGTGAGCCAGACACTGTGCTAAGCACTGGATGTACAAAGAAGATGAAACAAAGACATTTGTCCTCAGGCTGGAACAAAGACTAATCCAGACACAGGTGAGCTGAAAGTTTATGGAGCTGTCTCAGGTCTGTAAGGGATTCAAGTCTAATGGGAAAGGCTATCCTAGCCAATATGGCTAATGCCTCCCTCCTTCTGTTCCCATCCTTTCTGGGGAGTTCATGCTTCCAGGTTCCTGTTTCCAATGCAGCATGGGGAGGGGGGGAGAAAGCTCTTGGCTCATTCTGTCATGTTTGATGTGGTTTCAATTCACCACCCCAACCCTTGCAGATATCTGCCCATTCCATCTATTCCTTGCATGCTCACTTCTTTCTAGGGTCTACCAGTTCCACCTGGTCAAAACCTAGTTCCTCACCTTCATTGGATTCTGCTATCCCCTAATCCCTACCATGGGAACTGGCAAGTCAGGGGCCCAGCTCAGTGCTGGAAGCCCTAGATTGACTCTTCTTTGAACCCGGTGCTTTAGGCCACATTTTCTAAGTGCTGTTTCCTGGCTGCTCCCGAAAAAGCCTAGGGGACTGCGAACATCTCCCCCAAATCCCCAGACCCATGAATCTATCTCAAAGACTGAGTGCAGTGTTTGATGCTAGCCAAAAGACTACTCTTCGCTATACCTGAAAGCTTTCTGGAAGTCATTCTTTGTCAGAACAGAGTTAAATGACCTCAAAACTGGTCAATCCCAAAGAGGATTTGTCTATTAGCCCCAAGAGCTCCCATTAATTTTTGGAAGCAAGTGAGAATGATTATTCCATTTCCTAGAGCCCCTTGCCGCTGGACTACCAGAGATGTACAGCAAGAGACCTAAAGAGAATTCTTACTTAGAGACCTAGATACTTGTTCCAGTAGAGAGCCTCTAACTTGCTAAATGACGCTGGGCAAGTTACTTGAATTCTTTGGGCCCAGATTCCATTTTTTTACCTCTGCAAAATAAAGGGGATGGGGCAGATGGCGTCTGAAGTCCCTCCCGGCTGTGACATACCTATCTACGATGTCCATATGTAATTCATCTTCTCACTCCTTGGCAGACTGTGAATGTTATGGTCATTCCAACCGCTGTAGCTACATCGACTTCTTGAATGTGGTGACCTGTGTGAGCTGTAAACACAACACCCGAGGCCAACACTGCCAGCACTGCCGCCTGGGCTACTACCGCAATGGCTCTGCCGAGCTCGATGATGAAAATGTCTGCATTGGTGAGTAGACCCACCTGGTGCCCAAGGCCAGACTGGGAATGTCCCAACCAGGGCCATGGGTAAGCCAAGAAGGCCTTGAAGGGTGCATGAACTCCAGAGGGAAAAAGGGGAGAAGGGATCGGTCAGCAACAAGCAAGTGGTATGCCAGTTACACGTAACACAGAATGCCAAACCAATCCAGCAACATTTATTAAGTCCCTACAGTGTGCTAAGTACTGTGCCAGAAATTGGGGATGCATAGCCAATATAAAAAAAACAAACAAACAAACAAACCAGCAACAACCCTGCCTTTAAGGATTTTGCGTTCTACTAGAGAAGCAGAGAGGGGATATGGTAGGTATACAAGTAGATACATGATCATTTGGAAAAGAGAGAGCAAGCACTACCAACTACATTGGCACAGTGTCTGGCACTGAGTAGGTATGTAATAAATACTTGGGGGTTGATTTATTGATCAAGAAGGGCTTCCCTTTGGAGGGAGCATGGTGAGCTGAACAGCAAGGCAGGGCAGAACAAGTTCTGGTCTTTGAGCCAGGAGGCCTGGGTTTTAATTCTGCTGGTGCCCTTAAACATCTATATGACCTTGAGCCAGTCCTTTCCATTTTTTTGGCCTCAGTTTCTCCATCTCTAAAGTGAGAGGGCTGTATTCAATAATGTCCAGAGCACCCCTCTCAAAGACATCATGGGAAAAAGACAAGTAGGGATTCCACCAGTGCCAGGAGAAGGCCTTCTCTTGCTTATAGAATAATCTCTAAATCTCCTTCAAGCTCTAACCTTCTACACCAATGAATGATTCTATGCCTGGAAGCCCAGAAAGGAAAAATATATGATATTCCTTGGTTAGAAGTAAAGGCTGGAGACCTCCTCGCTAAGAGGGGTCATGCCAGAAGGCCAATAAACAGTCAGCTAATGGCTGTCTTGTTCTAGGGGGCCTGAGTCCCTGGAAACTGCCAACTGTCAGAGGACCTGAGTTTGCATACTGTTTCTGCTACCTAAGAGACCTGGGGGAAGTCACTTCCCCTTTGTGAACCTCAGTTTCCTGAGCTGTTAAAAGAGAGGTTTGGAGAAGATGCTTTGGGAGGTCCCTGCCAAATCCAAATCTTAAGAGCCCATGATCATGGGAATATGTCTGGACAGCTTGGCCATGGGTAGAGCCTAGTTTCTGCTGCCCAAACCCTGCCCTTCATTTTTCCTTTGTTTTGTTTTTAACCTCTATCCAAGGAGAAGGCTGATGTCTGCACTGCTAGTGCCGCTTTCCCTCCCCCTAAACACAGAGAGATATGCATGTACACACCTTTTCTCAATTAGGCCCTTTGGGCCCTGTTTGGCTGGCTACCCTGTCCTCGGGGGGGCATCACTTCTAGTGCCTGCAGCCTGTTTGCAAGGAGAGAGTCAGAATCATCTTGCCATCCTGTCCCAGGCCCCAGGCCTGGAGCTGTCAGTCTGTATTAAGGCTCTGGGTATCCCAGGGTACAGGGGATAATTCCATCAGCTTTCAGGTGATCAAAATTAAATTGTGCTTTGGCCGCAACCCTAGGGCCAGGGTTAGGTTACAGCAGGACAGTCAGAACCTTCTGGTTGGATTATGGTAGGCTCCCTCCCCTCCTTTTCCCTATGGAACACAGAGCAGTGTGTGTGTGTGTATGTGTGTGTGTGTGTGTGTGTGTGTGTCTGTGTCTGTGTGTCTGTGTGTGTGTGTGTCTGTGTCCATGTGTCTATGTGTAAATGGGTGAGGACAGAGCTAATAGGACCCAGGTTGACATCATGGGAAAAAGACAAGTGGGGATTCCACCAGTGCTGGCAAAAACATTAGGAACACAATACACAGGAAGGAGAAGGTTGAATGGGAATGACAGGTGGTGGGGTGGGAAGGTGGGGTAGAGGTGAGTGGAAAATTATAGGCAGAAAATGATTACAGCTGAGTGAATGAATGTCTCAAAATCAAAATTACCAATTCAGCATCTGTGGCCAGGAACTATGCAGTAATTGGTCATCCACAATGCCCCAGAGAATGTTAGTGCTCAAAAGGAGCTTGGTGATTATAAGATTTAGAGCAGGAAGGAGATCTTCAAAGATCATCTAGTACAATCCCTCATTTTGCAGATAAAGAAACTGAGGCCCAGAGAAGAGAAGTGACTTACCCAAGGTCAGAGAGCCAGGATTTGAACCCAGATTCTTGGCTCTGATTCTGCTATACTTTCCCATACACTCTACTGAATGTTCTTTGGGTGGGGAGGGTTGCCCTATGCAAATAGGCTGGCCCCAGCCTGTAGAGGTGCAGTCATAATGTAGCACACCCTGGGGCTGAGGGCACAGTATGTACCCTTGTGCCCTTCCCCCTCCCTAAAAAAACATAATAGACCCAGGGCACCCCACAGCCAAATTTCCAAGTGTCGTCTAGGGAAGACCTCTATTCTTCTACTGTAAAATGGGGTCATAATAGCACCTCCCTCATGGGATTGTTGAAAGGATCAGCAGTTGGTACAGTGCCAGGCACATAGGAGGTGTTCAATAAATGTGTATTACTTTCCCCTTCCTTCTTGTTCCTGCCTTCTAAAATGGGAAGGGGTTAAGCAGCTAGGTGGCACAGTGGATAGAGCACCAGGTTGGGAGTGAGGAAGACTCCTTCATGAGCTCAAATCTGACCTTAGATATTTATTAGCTGTATGATCCTGGGCAAGTCACTTAATCCTGTTTGCCTCAGTTTCCTCATCTGTAAAATGAGCCAGAGAAGGAAATGCCAAACCCCTTCTGTATCTTCGCCAAGAAAACCCCAAATGGGGTCATGAAGAGTTGAACTCGACTGAACAACAACCAGAGGAGGGAGGGACAGATGGTTGGTAAGGTTGTATCATTTCTGGGGTCCTATTCCAGGGAATGAAGATGAGGGGCAGGAAGTTGGTGGTGAGGGAACTAAGGAGGGAGGTTATGTATGGGGAAGAGGTATAACAGTAAAAGTGACCGTAGTTTTATTTTTGTTTTGTTTTTTCTTTCCTGTATTTGCAAAGAATGTAACTGCAACCAGATAGGATCCATCAATGACCGGTGCAATGAGACCGGTCACTGTGAGTGCCGAGAAGGGGCTGCAGGGCCCAAGTGTGATGACTGCCTCCCCAGTCACTACTGGCGCCAGGGCTGCTTCCGTAAGTTGGTGGGGGCAGGGTTTACACTGGAGGCCTGGGCTCCCTTTCTCCTAATTTGTATCTCGGAAGATGCTGAAGGAGAGCCAGGGAATGGAATGAAAACGGGGGCCTGAGACTGTGTTACTTCTCTGGGATTCAGTTCGAAAAGTCTTTATTTCAAATTGACCACAGCATATTCATCAGTCACATCTACTGTGTGCAGAGGTTCACAAAGTTTAGGTAAGATACCCTTTCCGTCCTCCCTGCTTCCCTCCCCCCAATAGCGTGGTAGAGGGAATGACACAGACACAGCTAACTACAATACAACATAAAACATGGGAAAGCATATTAGAAAGGTCTAAGCAAAGTGGGGGCAGCTAGGTGGCACAGTGGAGAGAGTGCTGGGCCTACAGTCAGGAAGATTCATTCATCTTTCTGAGTTCAAGTCTGGCCTCAGATGCCTACTAGCTGTCTGCCCCTAGGCAAGTCACTTAACAATGTTTTTCCTCAGTTCCCTCATCTGTAAAATGAGCTGGAGAAGGAAAAATGGCAAATCACTCCAGTATCTTTGACCCAAATCAGGTCAACAAAGAGTTGGACACAACTGAACAACAAAATTAACAAAGTACTATGTAAGGTCAAAGGAGAAAACTTATGAGGAGGGATTGGGTTGGGGTGGGGGGGAGGGGAAATTTGATTTGAATTTTATAGCCTGGGGAGGAACTCAACAGGAAAAGGAAGGAAGAAGGGATATTTCAGGCATAGGGAATAACCCAAGTAAAGGCGTGGAGATTGGAGGGCATGGGGTAGAATCAGAAGGCAGAGAATTTGTTCAGTTTGACCAGAGCAGAGAATGTTCAAAGGACAGTAATATAAACTAAGGCTGGAGAGGTAGGTTTTCACTAGATTTTGGAAAGCCTTGAATGCCAGGCTGAAAGATTTAAACTGTACCCAGTAGGTAATAAAGCATTCCTTCCATGTGTGTAGCCCTGGGCTAGAAAGCACTATAATGAGCATAGTATATAGCAAGAGTCCCCCTATCCCAGTGGAGCTCACAGCCCGAGTGAGAATGCAAAGCACACCCAAATGCACAAAACAATCAGGGAATTATACTAGACAATATGGAAGCCAATGCCAGATTACGTGATAGAGAGTGTAAAGGAGATGGGAATGCAGAGAAGGGAGAGGTTAATGTGGGCTCAAGTAGTCAGGGAAGGACATAGAAGAGCACTTGGATTAGGCCTTGAAGAATGACTAGGATTTGAACAATCAGAGTAGAGTTGGGAGGGTAATGAACGCAAAGGTATTTAGCATCATGGGAGAAGTAGACATGGCGCTGGATTGGGAGTCAGGAAGATCTACTACGTCAAATTCCATTCAGACACTTACTAACTTTGGCACCCTGGGCCTCTCTCTTTGCATCATTTTCTTCATCTATAAAATGGGGGGGTTGGACCCAGTTATTTCTAAGATCCTTTCCACCTCTGAATCTATTGTTGTTGTATTGTTCAGTCGTTTTGGTTGTGTCCAACTCTTCACGACCTCATTTGGGGTTTTCTTGGAAGATACTAAAGTGGTTTGCCATTTCCTCCTCTAGATCATTTTACAGATAAAGAAACTGAGGCAAACAGGGTTGAGTGCCCAGGGTCACACATCTAGTAAGTGTATGAGGCCAAATTTGAATTCAGGTCTTCCTGACTCCAGGCCTGGCACTCTATTCACCGAGCCACCTAGCTGCCCAATAAATCTATGATCCAATCTAGATATTTTCAGACTGGGAGAGCCTATGCTTACACAGAGCAAGTGCAGGGAGAATAAAAAACAGGGATGCCCAGAGGCTGTGTAGACAGGAAGGTCTCACCTCAGGAAAGACCCAGAGCAGTGAGCAAGGCATTTGTCTAGCTAATCTCCCAGCTGGATCCTGCTGGGGACTGAAGATGGGTCAGAGAGAATAGAAAGGTGGACAGAGATAGAATGGAGATATGGGAGCAAGGAAAGATGGAGATGGGAAAAACAGAAGAGTGTGTGTGTGTGTGTGTTTCTGATTGAATATATGGAAGGATTTGGGGAGGAGTGTCTTTCTAGTGCAAAGGTTCTTAACCTGTGGTCTGTGTGTGAATAGATTTCAGGGTCCCTAAAACTGAATGGGAAAAGAAAGTACATCTTTATTTCACTAACCTCTGGCTTCCTTTATAATCCTATATATTTTATTTTGTGCATTTAAACACATCCTGAAAAGAGGTCCATCAGCTTCACCCAGCCAAAGGGGTCTGTGACATAAAAAAAAGGTTTAAGAATCCCTGCTCTAGGGACAATCTCCAATGGGAAAGGGGGCCTGCATTCTATTTCTCCAAGGCTCCCACCCTATACCTACCTACCCACTGCTGCCCCCTTGCATCTGGGCAAGGGAAAAGTACATGCACCAGGCTGCCGAGGAGCCTGCGGAAGGGTGCTATGCAAACCAGGCCAATCAACCATCAAGCACTCTGATGAGTGGAGGCTTTGGGTTTTCTGTAGTGTTTCCACATTCAGTGTTCTTCCTTCTGGAAGTGTGGAGAATGCTAACAAGGACCAGGTTTGGCTCCTTCTGAATCCAGTTTTTGATTATTTCTCAGGTGGGTGGGTTCTTGCCTTTGAAATCTTGTCCCAGTGACCCTACTTCATCTGGCACCAGCTGACCCCAGAGCAATCTGTGGGCTCCCTAGAAGCTGGGTCTCCTGAGGGAAGATGAAAGGCATCAGGGTTATTTAGCCTAGAGAAGAGAAGGCTGTGAGGGAACTATGCATGAACTCTGGCAAATAGAGGGAGAACACTGTGAGGAGGGTAGCATAAGCTATGGCACAGGTCTCCAGAGGACAGAATCAGAAGAAGTAGGCTGAGAATACAGCCAGAGGGATTCTGATTGACTAGAGAAAGAAAATCCTTACAGTTTAAGCCTGTGAGAGCAAATGGCCAAGAGAATTCCTTTACTGGAGTTGGAGGGAAATAGCCTAAAAGGAATTAAGGTCTCCGAGGCCAGATAATAGAACCTATTTGTCTCCTCACAGCAGAGGGGTGGGACTTCGGGGACAGGCTACTGTATACACTGTCAGATCTGTTCACTGTAGCAAGTTTTTACTTCATTGTTTTTCTTTATTGCAAGTGCAAAAGTTTGATCTGAGGGTGGGAGTAGGGCTGGGAGAAGCAGGAAACTTCCAGAAATTATTGTTACATAAACGCAAAAGTTGTCAATAGGATGGAAGAAAGAAAGAAAAAGAATTTAGAGGGAGGACTTTTTTTCTGCCTCTGAATTGGCTTTGGTGGAGGCAGGTGGCTTCATTCAGCTGAGCAAACCATCTGAAACGCTTAGGATTTGTTCTCTGTCTTATTAATTACGCACCTCCCTCTCTTTCTCCTTCCCCAGCCAATGTCTGTGACGACGAATCCTTACTCTGCCAAAATGGGGGGACGTGCTACCAGAACCAGCGTTGCCTCTGTCCCAGTGGCTACCAGGGCGTGCTGTGCGACCAGCCTCTCTGCCAGGGGGAGGAAGGCCAAGCCTGCGACCCTGCTCCCCATGCTGGCCCCCACCTCGCTGTGCTCCTTGGCTCTGGGTTGCTTCTGTGGCTGGCAGGCTGCCTAGGTTACTGACACCGCCTCATCCCCAAAGCTGGGGGCAAGGAGGGAGCACCGGGGCAAAGGTGCCCCCCCATCTTCACCCCCAGGGACTGCCTCACTACCAGGACTGTTCACCTCCACTCCATTCTCACTCACGTCCTTCTGAATACCAGGAGCAGTCATGGAGACCTGGCCGAGGAACACTAATCCTTCCTGCTAGAAGGGTGCCAGTCAAGCCCTTTCTCGGGCTTCCTCAGCAAAGTCTCTGCTCTTTCTCCTTCATGGACCCTTGACCCATCCTCTCTTCCCAACGTAGGCCATTGTTCAGGGCCTGGGACCCAGATCCCCCTGCCAAAGCAAACCACCCTACAATTTTGGTTTTACCTCTGGTTTTCTCATTTCCCCGGGGGGTTTTGTGGGGGAGGGAGGGACAGTGACCACTCTCCCCTTCCACACCCCAAGTTCTGACAAGGCAACAACAGCATCCCTCCCAAATCTTTCTGGTGGACTGAGTACCAGCAGCAAGCACCTGTCCAATTCATCACACAGCTGGGTGGACAACCTGGAATTACAGTTGCCTACAAATCTCGATGCTGAATTTATGATGTTTTGTATTCTCACTTTGGTTTCCTTTTGCAAACCACCAGGTCCCTAAGGTCAGCCCTGGGGTTGAGGTGAGAACTTCACTGTCTCGAGGTGGGGAAGGCTCTGAAGAGTGTAGGGATGGGTACTTTGTTTTGTAAAGAATTATTTTTGTTTGTATTGTGTCCCACATATCTAGGGGACAGGAAGGGAAGAGCCATTCACCGTGGGTGTTGGGATGATGGCATATAATCCTACAAAGTAAAAGACCTGTTAACTGCTGTTTCTCCACCCTGTTTTCATTTCTGTGTAGGTATTCTGTTCTCTTTTATTTTTTTAATGTCTTTTTTATTTTGATTCATAAAGAAATAGAAGAATGTGGTTCCCTGACCCCAGGCCAGGGAAGTTTCCTGTGCACAGTTTCCCAGTCAACAAGCATTAATTGAGTGTTTACAATGTGCCAGGCGCTATGCTAAGCCCTGACCCATACGAAGAACAGCAAAGACAGTCCCTGCTCCTGAAGAGTTCACAAGAGTTCTAATTGGGGAGGCAATATACAAAAAAGATATATATAGAATAAATTGGAGATAATCATAGAGGGAAGGCCTCCCACAGAAGGTGAGATCTGCCCTCAGTCTTGAAAGAAGACAGGGAGACAAGAAAGTGGGGGCAAGGAGAGAGGGCATTCCAGGCCCATACCAAGGCATGGAAATGAAAGGCCCGTGGAGCTAATTCATAGAGTATTTGAAAGGGAACAAAATTCAAAGAGATTGAAAAAGAAGAAAGGGGCCAGGTTGTGAAGATCTTTACATGCCAACAGAGCACTTTATATGTGGTCCTGGAGGTAACAGGGAGCCACTGAAGTTTATTGAATAGGGGTGGGGTGGTAGAATGGGCAGGCCCCTCCTAAATTGTAGGTCTTGCCTGGCAAAGCCAATCTGCATTGGGGCAGGCCCCCGAAGCTCGGGAAGGGCCAGGCGCAGACAGGCAGGGTGGATGGTGAGCAGGTCATCTCAGCACATCCTTGTCTGCTCCCTCTGACTGACCTCTGAACAGACAGTGCTGTCTCAGCCTCATTAGGAAAAGGCTCAGCGCCAACCAGGGCCCCTGTGGGGGGAAGCAGGTTGTTAAGTCTGAGTCCCCAAGGACTCGTTTCATGTGCAGAATTGGCCCCAAACCGGGGCAGAGGCTGAGGCGGAAGTTCACTGTAGGAGGCTGAAACCATTCTGCTGGCAGGTTACTGGAACCATCTTGCTCTGTTTTTGAGGCGGCATAATCTTGTGGGAAGAGTTCTGGCTTTTGACTCAGAGGACCTGGGTTCAAGGCCTAGCTCTGCTACTTATTATTTTTGTGGCTTAGGGTAACTTACTTAACTTCTCTAGACTTCAGTAGGGCAGCTAGGGGCTCAGACGAGAGAGTCCAGGGCCTAGAGCCGGAAAGACCTGCGTTCAAATCCAGCTTCAGACACTTACAGGCTGTTTGCCTCAGTTTCCTCATGGAAATAGCAAACCACGCCAGTATCTTTGCCAAGAAAACCCCAAAAGTGGTCACAGAGTCAGACACAGCTGAAAGCGACTAAACAGTAAAAGGCTTCCGTTTCCTCACCTATACACTAAGGAGGTTGGGCTAAAATGACCTCTCAGGTCCCTTTCAGCTCTAAATCTTTGACCCTATAATCCTCATCTATAAAATGAATGCACTGAAATAGGTAACCCTGTAAGTCCCCTCCAGGACTAAATCCTTTGATACCCAAGGGAGGACTCAGCCATCTTCTAGGAGCAAAGTGAGGAAAGAGAAACCTCAGTTTCCTCCTCTGTAAAATCAAAGGTTGGATGAGATAATTTCTGAAGTTTCTGGTAGCTGTGGCATTCTATGACTATTCTATAAGCCAACGAAGAGGAGAAAGGACCTGAGTTCAAATGCTACTTCAAATACTATTAGCTCTGGTACCCTGGGGAAATCTCTTAACTTCTCTGTATGTCAGTTTCCTCTTCTATGCAATGAGGGGGGTTGACTCAATGGCTTCTAAGGTCTCTTTTAGTTCTAAATCTAAATCCTGCGATAATAGTCCTTAAACCTAAAGGCAGTGGCTTATAGAAAACAACTATGGTTTTGAATGGTTGGGAGGGTGGTTTGTTTTAAATCTGACTTTCTTGTTCCTACAAAGCTCATAGCCCTCTCACATCTTTGAATATTGACCATCCCAATCTGCAAGGTAAAAGGGGGGAATATACCCATTTTAGGCATGGGGTAAGTGAGGCCCTAGGGGATACCTGGTAATGGGTGGAGCCACAGTTACCTACTTAGAACCAGGCCCAGAATATGGTTCTTTAGGGCTTGTGGTCCCTGCCTTGATCCTGGTAAAATCATTGGAGATTGCTGGGGCAGCCCTTGAGAACAGGGCTTAGGAAGTCAGCCTACACCCAGGATGTCCCCCTGGGGAGCCTAGCTCACTTTCAGATTGGAAGTGAAGCTGCCCTCTGGCCCTGAAAGCTTATTCCTCATCCAAATGGTTCCCACTGCCAGGGGAAAATGTTTCCCCGATGTTCAGCCTAATAGGCCTCTGCTTGTTTCCTGCACCTTCTGCCTGATCCTCCACCCCCGTCACCCTGCAACCCCTCTAAATAACCCAGCCTGCTGTGTTGGCATTTATGGTCTCTGGGGCCATGGATTATTCTTATGAGACATTTATAGGGGCACGGGGAATGGCCATCAGTTCTCCTCCAGCAGGGACCAGGAACTAATGGCACCTCAGCCCCATGACTCTGGGCACTTGTCTCCCTCTCCTCCTCCATTCCCCGACCCCTCCTTGGCCATCATTCTGACACCCACAAAACAAAGTGCCTCTCTGTTCCTGGAAGCCTTAGGCCTGTGTAAGGGAGTCGAGGGAGAAGTCCTAGAGGGGAACCATTCTTTAAAACAAATTAATGAAACCACATTTTCTTTCCTTAACATCCTCCCTTCCTCACTTTCCCCTCCTGACCACCACCACGGGCCCAGAGCTTGTGGTCTGCTGTACACTTGACTCCAGCTTTCTAAAATTAATTGCTAGTGGTTCAATATACTAATCCCTTTAATGTTCTGGGCTCTGTGGATTTCAGCTGGCCCTGCTTACAGATGAAGCATTACTGGGAGCAAAGAGAACACCATCTATGCATCCAAGAGAAGGCCTGGCAGCTTGAAGGCATAGGAGGCTCTGCAGTGGCAGGGGACAGTAGCTCCCCACTGGGTCAGGGGAGGGAACTCCCTGTGTTGACCAGTCAAATGGTCCCACTGGTCCCGACTGTAGCCAGGTAGAATGGGGTTGGGGACAGTGGTATACTGGTAAATATTAACAACCAGCTCTGGGAGGGTGGGGAGGATAGATGTACAAAAGGCACCTTTAAATTTAATCCTTATTATTAACAACGCTTTCTTAATCTAGACAATCAACAAAAGAATAAATCAAGCCCAGATGTGTAGCATTTCCTGGTTTCCTGAGGTAAAAATGGTCACACTGAAAATTTAGTAGTAGGACTAGAGAGCTAATTCAAGCTGGCTCCAGCACTCTCCTGGTTGGGGGAGGAGGGGAGGGGAGAGGTGATATTCAACTCAACAAGCATTTATTAAATACCTGCTGTATATACGAGAAGCAATTTGGCACAACTGATAAAGAGCCAGCCTCAGCCTCTGCAGCAGGAAAGGCTGGGTTCAAGTTCTGCCTCTGAAATACATTGACAGAGTGACCCTGGAGAAGGCATTTGATTTCTCAGTGGCCCCAGGCAACTCTCAAAGACCAGATCAAGGGTGGGGAACCTGTGGCCTTGAGGTCCCTGGATTAGATTGTAACTGCACTGGTTAGAGGGAGCTTTCTCTCGAAGATGTCCCTGCCTCAATGATCACAGCTCTCTAACAAAAAGGAAGGTGGGAGGTGAAAGGCAGCAGGTGGTGATTAGAAGACTTGTCTTGGACTTAGGAGGTTGAGTACAAGCCCTGCCTGTAACACTTCCTACCTGTCTGACCATTAGCAAGTCACTTAATGGTCCAATATCCAGGCAGCCATCAGACTCTACATGATGAAAAAGTTGCTGAACTGCTTCCCTAGAGAGAGTTTCCACCCTGGAGGAGATTTCCCCAGCCCAACGAATTCAGTCCCACAGAAAAACAAAACCAAAAATGTGCAAGGCTCCCTGTGCTGGGTGTTAGGGATGCAAAGACAAAAACCAGAACCCTGCCTTCGTGGAGCTTACATTGTACAGAGTAGCTACAACATGGACTCAAAGAAGGAAAATATCAGGTCAATCAGAAGCAAGAGGGAGCACTAACAATAACAACGGTTTGGGGTGTTGGCGATCAGGAGCGGCTCCCTGCAGCAGGTGCTACCTGAGCTTGAAGCTCAGAATGAGTTGGGTGGGAGGGGTGGGGCAGTGTTGCTCAAATGTTTTCTTTTGAGTCCAGATTTCTCTCCTGAAAGTAGACAAAAGTTAAAGAAGTGATGATGGGCAAAGGAGGATTATAAATCAATGAGACTGGATTATTGTTGTTATTTAGTCTTGTCTGACCCTTTGTGACCCCATTTGGGATTTTCTTGGCAAAGATACCAGAGTGATTTGCCATTTCCTTCTCCGGCTCATTTGACAGATGAGGAAACTGAGGCAAACAGGGTGAAGTGACTTGTCCAGGGTCACATAGCTAATAAGTGTATGAGGCTGGATTTGAACTCACGAAGATGAATCTTCCAGACTCCAGGCCCAGAGCTCTATCCGCTGCGCCTCCTACCTACCTGAGACTGGATTAAAAGAGGCCAAAACTTGCATCTACAAATGAGTGCTACTTTTCCCGTTCATTCCACACAGAACATTCCATGCTTACCCCAATGAGGCTGCCACTGTTCACACCATTGCTGTAATTCCTCTTTGGCAACAGCCTCCAGGGGCAGGTTAGAGCCTCCCTCTGAGCTGCCACTCCCTCCTGCAAAGGAGTCCTATAACTTCATTGTCATGATTTGTTTTTTCCCAAGCTGTTCAAAGCTGAATCCAGGAATTTAATTCTAACTTCAGGGAAAGATGTCATTGGTTGATATGGGAAAAAGAGTCTTCAAGAAAGGGGGCAGGAAGCCTTGTTTTCACCTGGGTTAGAGTCAGCTCCTTAGATATGTCTTTGGGTTAAAATTAACCACATGCAAGGGTGGGCTAGTAAATGTTTAGCAGCCAGCTCTGGGGCAGGCGGAAGAAGTATGCTCCGTATACTTTTAAGTTTACTTTGCATTATTAGCATTTTCTCCATTACTTTCTTAAATCTAG